GCCCCTGCTTTCCATCCTAGTCTTTTGCTCTTGATTTGCAAAGCTTCTCCACCATCTAGAAGTTCTGATTATGTTTTTAATAAAAATGCATATATCTTCACACCATTCCAACCAGAAAATTCTATCTATTTATCTTTATATCTTGGTTTTACCATTAGCCCAATTCAGAAGTCGTGGAAATTCTAGGTGCCAAAGCTAAATATTCTAATATTTAGAAAAGTGAAGACTTACACTTTGTCAATGGTGGCTAGCGAAAACTGGTAATAGATTTGTGTTTCTTCAGTTTATACCCCACAAATGTATGTTGTGCATAATGAACTCTCACCCATTTTCTGCTCACATTCTATCTGGATGGTCTCAGAATCCAGAACTTCTACTACGAGGCTGCAGGCACTGCTCCAGCCCTTATTCCTGCTTGTTGAAGAGGGCAGCTCACATCCTCGAGTCTTCTGATGACACTCGAATATTTGCCTTTCTACAGCATAGTGCTTGCCAGCTCAAACAGTCATCTCCTTTGCATTTTTCTCCTCTCTTCACTAGTGTGGCTCATCTACAAGTATCCTTAGAACCTAAAATATCCAGGATTTCAAGGCAACAGCTGTATACTTTTTTGTGCCATTTATGTTCCTTCTTTAAAAAGTATATATTCATCAATTTCATAAAAAATAAATAGCTATGTACAAAATTGTTGCTGCTGCAGTGTTTATGATGTTTAGAGACTCAAGCTGCAGCCTAAAGCTATTAGAGACAGGTTAAATAAACTATGGTATATCTATATAATGGAATATTGGGAATGTAATACATCCACTACAAATGATGCTTTAATGCTGTAAGAAAATGCTCACTAAGATTTTCAAATAAAAAAAGGTAAGTTGGGAGTTTGGGGTTGATATATACAGTACTACATTTAAAACAGAAAATCAACAAAGACCTACTGTATAGCACTGCTGGTGTTGTTTAGTTGCTAAGTTGTATCTGATTCTTTTGTGACCCCGTGGACTATAGCCCTCCAGGCTCCTCTTTCCATGGAATTTTTTTTCAGGCAAGAATACTGGAGTGGGTTGCCATTTTCTTCTCCAGGGGATCTTCCTGACCCAGGGACCAAACCTGTCTCCTGTGGTGGCAGGCAGGTTCTTTACCATTGACTCACATGGAAGCCCACTGTATAGCATAGGGAACTATATTTGATACTTTGTAGTAATTTATAATGGAAAAGAAAATGAAAAGGAATAGATATATGTATATGTAAAACTGAATCGCTTTGCTGTATATCTGAAACTAATACAACATTGTAAATCAACTATGGTCCACCATAAAATAAAAATCTTAAAAAATCTTATCTCAATGTGATCCAAAATTACCTTCAGCACATGGCAAATTTAAACAGCCATCTTCTCTGAGTGATGGTATTTGTGAGAACTTCTTCCTGCTTTGTTTCCTCCATTTCATATTATGCAATATTTTTATTGGAAAAAGGGTGTTGGAACTGTGGGACTAGGAGTGTCATAGATAATCAAGTAAAACCTTTTGGCTTTCTTATATTAGCCAACTCCCACCTTTTTTTAAACAAGAAAGTCAATCTGAGGTGTCTCTGTCAGCTCAGTCTCTTGTCCTGTGGGTTAGTGGTGGACAGTGTTCTGCACAGTGTGATAACGACTGGCATTTGTCAAATAACTGCTATGTGCCAAGTAGGAATTCACGTTTATATATTTATATATAATCTTATTTAATCCTCGCATCAACCTGATCACATAGTATGATCAGCTCCATCTTATCAATACTGAAACTGAAGCATAGAGGTTAAATAAGTAGCCCCAGGTCAGCCAGATGCAATTTAAACTCAAGCCCTCCAGAGTCTGGATAACTCCACCATTTACAAACATTGGCTTGGCATTTTATTAGAACTATAAAATTAGTTTCAAAATATTTGGGAAATGATCTGACTTCATAAAGTGCTACTTACGTATGCTTCAAACAATCAGAACACGAAGGAGCATTCAAAAGGACTCTCCCTTATAGAGACCTTAGCGAGACTCCATTGAAGGGCTTTCGCCTAGTCTGTCCCGTGGATGGAAATGGCTACTTCAATGAGGTGGTGATGATGTCACTTGTACCTTTTTCGTCAACATTAATCAAGTATTCATGCAACCAAGTTGCAAAGCATATGAAAGAAACTATCATCTATAATAAGACTTCCAACTTAATTGGGAAGATAAGACCAATAACATGCAGGGAACAATCAGCACAAGGCAAAAATAAAAACTTTTTAAACGATAATAAAATGCTAAGCCATGTGGTAGACTAGATGACTAGTGTAGAAGTTACGTAGAAAGAACTGTCAGCTCTTTAGTATCTTAGCACTTTGAAAGTACAAGAGACAATCCTTGAAGATCATTTTGTGGACTCCAGCATTCCAAGAGATCTAACTTGGTCGAGGCCACACAGTTGCTCAGTAGCAGAGACAGGTAAAGTAACCAAGGAAGCTTATGAAGCAGTTAAGTCTTGGAAAAGCTTTTCAAGGAGTGAGTGAGGTGATGGTACTTTTGATGAAAAGAGTGGACAAGATTTCCTGGTTTAACAAAATCAACCTGCCACTACTCTGATTTTTAGATTATAAGATTGTGAATAGTCCTTGTACTGAGGGATTAGATTTAATTTTTTTAAATAATCAAAAACTACTGAATTGCCCGTTTCATTGCATGCATTGTTTTCAGACACGCAGTATTTCAAAGTGTATTGCACTCTACCCAATATATTACCAAATAGAAACACATCTACCCACATATGCATTCCAGGTGCCTATCTGAGAGAAGTGATATCTGGCTGTCCTAAAACACTTCTGGTTCAGATAGAAGCAGGAATCTGAAGTTGCAGACTGTAAATAGGAAATAGTTATTTGTCCAACTTTGATGATTTTATCAACAACACACTCAAATTTCATTTAAAGCATATAAATACTCTGTAATAATTGCTTATGTAAAATTTATCATTCATCAGAAAATAGAGATATACTGAAGTCTAAGTAGATTTGTTTTAGATTACCTAAAATCAACTGATTGGGCAATTTTTTTTTGGTAAAAAGATACTTGAATATTAATACACAAGGTATAAGGATCCTAAATTAAACCTAATTTCAACTAAGAAATTTTGGTAGTGAACACAGCAGATGTGGCTTAGAAAATGTAAAATTTATTTCAGAAATGTTTGTTCAAATTTGAGAAAAAAATAGGCTAATGAAACACCAATTTTGATGAATTCTTTTTAAAAGTTGATAAGTAAGTATGATCACACTTAGAAATACCTATGGCTTTCATTAAAAAAAAAATACAAAACCTACTTCAACACCTGACAAAATACACAGGCATAAAGTTATACTTTCTTATATTCTAAATAATGCTTCCAGTGGATTTTCAAGCAAAAGTTAAGGCTCAAGGTTATCTCTCTGCCTTCCTGCAGAGAAAATTGTTAAGAGAGTATACTTTCAATTCCTCGAAAATTATTTCAAGAGGTATGATACACTCAAACATAGACCATTTATGCTAGCAATAATAAATAAAACTCAAAGCAGTTCTCTTTTGTTGTATTTTAGCTATTTACATTTTAAACTCTAATGCAGTTTGTTAAAGTAAATCAGAGAAATAACTGAAATGTGGCTTCAAAAGAAGTAAAACAAGTTAATAAATCATAAATAATCAATACTAATGCATAAATAAAGTCATTTTCTAACAAGGTCCAAAAACGAAAGAAAACAGAAATTCAGGTTTTAGATGCCTTCGTTACAACCCTACCAATCTGCTGTATGGGTTCAAAGTTCCCGACAAGAAGTTAACCTTGAACCTGAACATTTCAGACTTACAAAACACAAGTATCAGAGTTACTGCGTCCCACAGTTGGGTTAAAAAGCTTCCCAAAGTCTCAGAGACTTTAACTGAATGCAGAAAAGCTAAGAGTCTAAGATAATAAACAGAAACAGCAAAAAGTGAAGCTGCCAAATATCAAGGTTTTACAGACGAATCTAAAGCATATCTAGCAATTTCCCTGTATGAAACAGAATAAATAACCTATACGCAAATATGCATGTTTGAATGCAATCACGTTATTAGCATGCATTCTACTTACTTTGCTTTTTGCCATTTATAAGCTTCATTAGGGAGACCCAGAAAGAGGTAACAAGTTGAATGAAGTTCGGCTCAGATACGAAACAGCTGTAAAATTGATCTACAAATTTGCATATCAGAACGTCCAGCGGGGGAGAGACTCTTGACAAACTAACATATATACAAGCTTTAGATTGTGAAATAACGCATTTCGGCTTTCTGCACTGTATATTACTATTGGAAACCTCAACTCTACCTCCCCATTCTCCGAAGGAAAAAAAAAAAAATCCACCTCCAATCTTCATTGGTCCACACAGTTCCGGCCCACATGGTATCAGTGGGTGTGTCCCTGCCAACGAGTCCTCTCATTGGTTGCGAGGAAACAGCCTCTAATAGGCTGTGATTTGGGGGGCTGTCAAACTCCACGCCTCCAGACCTAGCGCTCGCCAATAGACCCAAGGAGCTGGCGGCTCCTCTGCGATTCAAAGGGCAGGCTGACTGCCTGAGCGCCAACCCCAGAAAGATGAGCTCTCAGAAGAGAAAAGGACGAGGATGAGGGCGACGGCAGCTCAGGCTCTGCCCCCACCGCTGCTCGACTGCTACTCCCGGACCCCACCAAATGTTGACACACGTGCATTTTCCCACCGACAAATTAGTAAGGCGGCCAGCGCGTTTGCCTTCCATAGAGCCGTTACCGAGGAGCAGCTCAGGAGCCGAGTCCAATCGGCCCATTCTACAGATGGAAGCAGGAAAGGGATCTGTAGCGCCTGACGCCCCTGGGAAAAGAATCAGTCCCGTGCGCCCCCTCAAAGCCGTCCACCGACAGCCGGGGCTGGGATGCCTTAGGTGCCTGTCCTGCCGCTCCCGGGGGTCGCGCCCCGCTCCCGTCCCTGAGAGACTTACGCGGCCTGTTCTTCCTCCCGGAGTCCATCCTCCTCCTCAGCCGGCATTTCTTGGCGGGGGAGTCGTGCTGAGGGGGCGGCGGCTGTGGCTGGAGCTCTGGCTGGAGCGGCAGGCGCGGGGGTGCCGCGTCGCTATCGCCCGGGGGGCCCCGGCTGCAGAGGCGCGACGGGTGGAACCCGTTGTGCAGCAGCCCGTTCACGGCTGCAGCGCCGACGCTGGCGGGAGTCCCCGGGGCGTGCGGGGCCGAGCGCTCAGGCTGCCCGCCGTGGTCGCCCATGCCAGAGGCTGGTTGGGTGGCGCGCGGGCCCCGGCTCAGGCGGCCTCGCTGGAGGTCATTCTCGGGCGTCTTTATTTCCCCGGATCCTCCTTGCGGCTTCCGATTCAGCAGCCGCAGAGCCTGCGCCGGGGGATGGCGAGTCGGGCGCTCCTCCCCTCCTCCCGCCGGCGTTCCCACCTCCTCCACGCCCTGCCCCTCCCGCGCAGGCCCCCCGGCGCCCGCCCCCGGCGCGGAATCGGGGATCCCCGCGCACCCCCAGCCGGGGCCCCCAGAGCCCGCCTTCCCCCGCTGCCCCAGTCGCGCGACTTCAAACGAGGCTTCCTCGCCTCCCAGACCTGTCCCCGCTACTGAGCATGCCCAGTCCTGCCCGCCACCGCCGAGCTTCAACATGGGGACTGAAGTTCTCCGGCTTCGCAAAGAAGAGATGGGCGGGTTGGGCTCTGTATGGCGGAGCAAGGCGAGAAGGGACTGGGCGAGGCCGGCGTGAGCAGAACGAGCAGCTTCGGGAGGAATGCGGGCGGGGGGGGGGGGGGAGACAATAAATATTTGTAGAGATTTGGGTTTGCTAATCCTGTCCGCACTGAGCTAGATAGCTTTGCAAGGTCATTCACGTTGTCCCCTCCTCCCTGAAAGCTTTGTGAGCTTCTGTGTGTTTCTCTGGGTTTAGTTAAGTGACCAAACTACTCACAGGCACGAGGGGAAGGAGGAGAACGATTATTTATAGACAGGTGGGCGGATTTGGAGAGGGAGGGGAGTGTAATTTCTTTGCTGGCACTCACAGACACCATGTGGCCTCGAGGAGTTGTCTTTTACAGGGAGGAACCTAGGAATACAGTGTAAGGACAGTGAAGGACAGAGATGTAGGCGGGATTAACCGGTGCTGGAAGAGACCAAGTAAACAGAAGCAGTCCAAGCTATAAAAAGCACTTTCCTCACCCAGATAGGACGCTGAAGAGACAATGTCACCCTATTTATAGAGTAAGGAGTTGCCTGTGTTTTCAGAAGGGCAGGCAGCATCGTAGGGGAGACAGCACCATAACCCTGGAGTCAGAGCTGGATTCAAACTCCAACTCAGGCACCCAACCTGAGAACTTCTCACCCAACCGTGAGAAACTCATTGCTCAAGTTAACACACCTGGTGACAGGAAACAGAACTGGGCATGCTCAGTAGGCAGGACAAATTTGGGTGCTGAGGACCTTCCCAAAGTTGTGCAATCCTTGAGGCCTCAGCTCTTGACTCTTAACTAGAAACTGTCTTGAGCAATCTATCTGCTACAGTCCTGATGCACAGTAAATGCCCCAAAGAGCTGGTTATCCTTATTACACTGTTATTATTAGCAGATCACCCTTCATTTCCAACAAGGGGAATAAACCATACTCGTAGTCATGTTTATTGTGTAACTTACTGTGTGTGATGTTCTCCATCATCTGCATTTATTTAATCTACAGAGGAGTCAGAGGCCTCAGAGCACTCAGTAGCAGCCAGAGGCCTGCACCTGAATGGGAATTCCTTCCAGCAGAGTTTGACCTGGAGTCAGCTTTAGAACCCATGACGACTCGAGTGCACAGGTCCCTTGACTCCTTTTTTTCAGATAAGAAAACTGAGCCACAGAGGGATGGCTGAGGTTATTAAGAACAAAGCAAAGAATAAACCAGGTGGTTAAATGATAAAGAATCCACCTGCCAATGCAGGAAACACAGGAGACTCGGGTTCAATCCCTGGGTGTAGAAGATCCCCTGGAGGAAGGGCATGGCAATCCACTCCAGTATTCTTGCCTGGAGAATCCCATGGACAGAGGAGCCTGGCGGGCTAGAGTCCACAGGGCTGCACAGAGTTGGACACGATTGAGGTCGCGTGCACATTAAAGAATAAATCTTAATTCTCCTATCTTTGCTTCCCTGACCCTATCATATTATTTGAAAATATGAAGGAAAAACCTAGGTGACCTGGCCCCTGCCTCACCTTGAGCTCCTGATTCTCCCTCTACAGAGCGGCCTTTCAGTTCCTCAAACACACGAACATCCCTTTCCATCTGCTGTGTTCCCTTGCGTGTTCCCAGATGTCTTTGTTTACTAGATTCCAACTCAGTCTTCAGATCTCTGCTTCAACCTCTTATATTTAAAGTAGCCTTCCCTGACCCTTAGAACAAGACTAGAGCTCCCTCCCCCTGCACTTGGCCTTCATGACTCTATCAGTTTGTAACACCACAATGGGGGTATAATAGGACATCACTGAGTTGTTACAGTGATAAAATGAATATATATGTAAAGTGTCCAGCCCATCATAAGTGCTATAGAAAAAGTTCAATATTATTTGATTGTGCATCTCCCTCTACTACACTGTAATCTCCATTAAGGCAGATGACTCTCTTTCATAACTGTATCCCTAGGAAGCTCTTGGTAATTATTTGTGACTGAATAAATGACTTGGGTGATATTTCCCCGGGGTGTCTCTCACTTTCTATTGTAAATTTGGTAAAAACAAAATGCCTGGATTGTTACTTCTAAATATTCAAATATAAAGGTTTCAAATTCCGACATAATTTAAGCTCAGTAGTTTAGGAAGCACTTTACAGCAGAAATGCAGAGAGTAGATTTAGCAATGCAGTGTATCCAAGGACATATCCTCTTCAGCATGATTCCCAGGCATGGTGAGGAAGGCCTGAGCCAGGTAGCTCAGACCCAGGTAGGGCAGGAGTACTGGTACTGGGGACAGAACATCCTCTACCTGCTTTCCTCTCTCATCTTTGCTCTGGGTGCCTTGAATAAGTTACACCCTGTATGTGATAGAGAGGAAGCCAGGTGGCATATCACGGGTTTATGGGGTGCGTGGGAGTTGGGGGGGGGGGCTTGGGGAGACTGTGGTTCGGAGGTGTAATTTTGAGGTATGAACTGTCATGTGCTCCAGCAGGGGAATGGAACAAATAACGTTTGGAAGAGAGGGAGGGAGGAAGAACCCACAAGGCACTCTCTCTCTCTGTTCATTCATTTATTTACCAATCATTTATTATGAGTGCGCTGTGTTATAGGCAGTAAAATAAATGCTGGGAATAAGTACAAAGTCAAAACAAATGGCTTCATTGCCCTCCAAGGGCTTACAATTCATAGAGACAGAGAGAGAGATAAGTCAATGATTCTCCATCATCTGGGTACCTAAGAATAACCTAGGGAGTTTTTCCTTTTAAACTTCTTGCTGAAAATAACATACATACAGAAATATATACATATCCTAAGGGTAGAGCTCGCTTCCTAAGGCCCACTTGTCTTCACGGTGAATTTTGCAGTGAATGAAACAAACTGTATCACCTATACCATGGAAGGGAATTCCAAAGGACTCCAGAGAGTGAGCAATGATGGAACAGAGGAGGAAGATGGGGCTGAGATGGGTGTTAAAATATGCTTCAGGGAGGAAATGACCCTTAAACTGAAGTTTGACCAATGCTGGAATTTCATCATGGAAGGTTGAAGGAAATCCATTCAGAACTGAGGGAGTGGAGACCCTGCAGGTGGTCTGAAACCATCTGGCATGCTTGGGAACCTGCCAGAAGGTCAACAAGGCTGAAAGACAACCCCAAGGGAGGAGGTGAGTGATGGCCAAAAAGGTGAGATGGGGTCCAAATCTCAGATGGCTTTCTGCACCATAGGAAACAATTCAGACTTTTCCCCTGAAAGCCACGAGAAACCACTGCAGAGTTTTAGACTGTGGAAAAACTCCTAGATTTGCATTCTGGAAGGGTCTCTGGCAGCAGTCTGGAGAATAAAATAGGGGAGGAGGTTCCTAGTTGGAGGGACCAGATAGAAGACTACTGGAAACAACCAGGAAAGAAGTGAGATGGGGCTGAGTGAAGGACATATCATTCAGAATGAGATCACCAGGTGGACTCAAAAACTATTTAAAGAATTTATAGGACTTAGTAACCAATTGCAGAACAAGGAAGAGGTAAGGCTAGGATAATTTTTATGTTTCCAGTCTGGGCAACTGGGAATGTGGTGGTTTCAGCATGCAAGATAAAATATGCAGAAAAGGAGCAAGACCTTCTACTTATATTCTCTCTGGGATTTATATTTAAGAAGTGTGATCCTTTAAAAATGTAGATATGATCATGACCTTCTTGTGCTTACACTGATATGAAAGCCATATCAGTATTTGTTTGTCTAACTCGACACTTACCACTTTCCTTCTTTCCTCCCTTCCTCTCTCTCTTCCCCTCCCCCCATAAAAAGAGGGAGGTCAGCACTAGGTTTTAACTACTATAAATTAGACTTTTAATTTACTTTTCATTTTTTTGATGACACAGATTAAAACCTGTCCACCATGCCATCATTACACATGATCATTGTATAAATTCTAGTTCCTTGCTAAAATGGAAATAAAGTCCAATGTGGCCAAGCTTTCTACCACCTAATAACCACACCGATGATACAATATGAGCTTGGGAAAGGATACTTGTCAAGACATAGTTTAAAAAGAATTACTAGAATTTTAACTGTCAGAATAATATTGACCCAAGATGACTTCTTTCTTTCATTTTTGCCTCTTTTACTATTGGTGTCGGTGCCTTTCTTAGAGATTCGCATGAGGCACCTCAGGAGGCTATTTTCAAGTACTGTGCTATTTTAGATGACAGTGCTTTTCATATTGCTTTCTTCAGGGCCCTAGGGAGTAGCGCTGCTTCAGGGAGCCAAAGGCCACCAAAAACCAACAAAAACTGCCCTGTGAATAACAGTGTTATGGAGAGATTCTGAGGACCCCTTCATCAGAGCCTCCCTCTTCTTCAGAAATGAGCACCTACTACACAGCAGATACCATACTAAGTACCAAGGATATTACTCTTAAGCAAAAACAAAGTTCCCATCCTTATCCAGATTACAGAACGGACAGGCCAGAAGCACGTAATCACCACAACAGCAAAAGTGTAACTATCATTCCAAGAAATGCAAAAATGGAAAGGCTTTCAGTGCCATGAGGGCACACACCAGGGTGACCTGGACTCATCTTAAACTTTAGTAGATGAAATGACATTTGCTGAATTCTGAATGTTGAATAGAAGTTAACTAAGGTGGAGGTGGAAGTGGAGGAGGTATTCTTAGGCTCTCTTATGTCATAAATATGGTAGGCACTTCATAAATACTTGCTGGCTGAAAAGATGAATTGACCCTGTTCCTCTCAATAGGGCAAATCGAATGTCAGGAAGATTTTTCACCGAAATAAACCACTGGAGAGGGTTTAGGCCAATCCCGTTCTCTTTACTGTTTTTCCTATATGGCTTGATGGAGGATTTTAGTTTTTTGTTGTTGGGTTTTTTTGTTTTTTCTTTTTGTTTGGTCAAGAGAAGTAGAAAAATGTAACATCAGCAGCTGCCACTACAGTAATAACTGTGTGTACAGGA